TTCGGCTGGAGGAAGGTGAGCCAGAGCTGCTCTCAGGCCAAGTGCTGAGACTGGCAGCCGCTTTTATTTTCTTAGTCCTGGGCTTGGAAAGGGAAATAAAGCCCTTTGTGGTTCCCAAGTCCGGGGTTCTCAGACACTGCCTCCTTTGTGCGTCTGGAAGCCATTCAGGGCTTGCCAGTGCAGTGTGTGGTAACACTCCAGGGCTCACTTGCGGGTCTGGGCAGCTGGCAGCGTGCCACCCAAGCTGGAGGAGCCTAGAGAGCACCCACTGTCCTTCCCTGCTGGGGCCTGCAGATCCTAGATCAGCCAAACCTTTGGTGCCAAGCCTAGCTCTCAGGCTGGCAACTACATGTGTCCTTGAAACATGCCCCTGCATAGTTGTAGCTGGGGGTGTGCTTAAACACGCCTCCTTCCAGATAGAATGCAGGAACGGCCCAGCTGATGGCGTGGCAGAGTGCACTCTGAGTGTGTGTCACTTCCTTGAGGGAGTCTGTGACTTATGGGGGGCATTGAGCTCCTGGTGGCATCTGCTCATTTGAGGCTGCCTTGTCTTGACAGAAAGGCACACGCCCCTCCAGGTCAGTCAGTCAAGGCAGTCTGGTGCAGCCTTGGGAGAAGTCTGAGGAGGGATGGAGAGGCTACCTGAGAACCTAGTGTCACCAAAGGAGCCAGCAAAGGAAGTGTCCCATCTCAGGAAGTGCCACCTCACTACACAGAATTTGACAGGATGAAGGGAACAGGTGTGAGGGAGCTAGCTGCAAGGAGGGCTGGGGTACACGTGGGGTATGTGGGGTACGTAGGGATCCTGTGGACTCATGAGAGGGTCCTGCTGTAGGGAGAATAACTAGGCTATAGGCCAAAGAGTCACCTCCTTCCATGGTGGTCAGTTGTACATAGTGAGGTTCGGAGTGGCCTGTGGAGGATACATGGTAGCTGAAATCAGGGTAGAAGGGAGACTTGAGCACAATGTTGGCTTGGTGGGCAATGCTTCTTCCTTCTGCCCGTTGCATCAACACCCAGCCTTGGGGGGTCGGAAGCCCCAGGCAGCCTTGGTCCAGGCTTCGTCCTTTGTAATCCAGGTGACGTGTGTAGTTGAACAGTGGCCTCCAAATTCATGTCATCTGGAAACAGGGCCTTTGCAGCTGGCATTGAGGTACGGTCACCCTGGGACGGTGTTCCAGCTAGCAGGGGATGCCAGTGTGGGGGTGGCAGATGTCTCTGGGAAGGTCAGAAGGGACCTGTCTCTGGTGACTTGAGTTTTGGTCCTTTGCCGCTGAAGCCTGAAGAGTTCATCCTTTTGAAGGAACTAAGGGGTATCAAAAGGGGAGCGGAGGGGCTGGGAAGAGGCCCTCCAATTCTCCATACTTGGGGAGAGTCTACACGTCCTGGTTCTCCCTTCAGTACCTGTGTGAACAGCTCAGCAGGACCCCAGGTGTGGAGCTGAGCAGGTGGCTGGGAGCCTCAGCTCCCGTGGGTAGCCAGCCTGCCGTGCCTTCTTTTGGGTGGTGGCAGGCTGGATGGGCACCTTTGTCTCCTTTTCTCATTTGCTTGCTGCAGCTTAGTAGAGAAGTTGACCCTAGCTCCAAGGAACTCCAGAGTCTCAGTCCGGGGAACCCTCTTGAGGGAGCCCTCATGGAGCCAAGAAGTCCATGTAAAAGCATGCTTCTTGCCTTCTTCAGCCTCTAGGTAGCCTGTGTCCACCCAGGTGCATACCCTCCTGCATTCATGGCAGTCTCTCCCCCACCCCCCTTCTCTGCAGCCTCTAGCAGCAGAAACAGGGCTGGGTGTTCCGAGAACAAAAGGAGGTTGGTGCCAGGTTGCTGACCCTCTACCTTGCCTCTCTATCTCTACCTTTCTATCTTCCTTTCTTCTTCTTTTTCGCTTTCTTTTTATTTGTGTGTGCACCCACATGCTTGTCATGTACCCACGCATGTGCAGAAGCCAGGGGAGGACATCAGATGTCCTCTGTCATACTCTACCTTAGTTCCTTGAGACAAGGTCTTGTCATTAATGCTAGAGTTAGGTTGGCAATCAGCAAGCCCCAGTGTGCCTACTGCCACCAGTCCCCGCAGCACCAGGGGTATAGGTGTGCACGTGACTGGGCTTATCTTTTTACATGGGTGCATGGGTCCTCATGCTTGTTAGGAAGCCCACTAACACACTGGGTTCTCTCCCCAACCCCTCATCTTAGTTTTCTCAATTAGAGCCATAGGCACAAAAGTTCCTGGAAGTGGGCTGGGGTGCAGGTGTTCATTGAGGGAAGGTGGTTGGAGTTTTACAAGGCAAAGCCTTCTAGGATGGATGGATATAGTTCGTGTCCCTGAATGCACCCTTAAAAGTACTTAGTGTGGTGTGTGCATCTTACCATACATAGTAAATAAACCGCTGGAGCAAAGAAAGACATTGGAAGGCACCGCGGGGCATTGGAGAGAGACTTGCTGACGTCACTCTGAGCCAGCACCCTGGTGAAGTGTGTGTCTTCCCATACCTGTTTGCACAGTGTGACCACAGGGCTGTGGCTCTTTGGAACTGGTGTCCTGTATGAGGCCACAGTAGATGCCATCTGCTCTGAGCACAGCTGGTAGTGAGTGAGGGTGGTACACAGGGAGGCTTTCCACACACAAGGTGTGCTCGCTCCGTTGTATTTGTGGCGGGATCAGATCCCACAAGGAGAACCACTGACTTTGCGGACTTCTGTGTCCTAAGATCCCGAATCACCTGCATTATTAGTGTGTGTTGGTTTCCTGTTCGGTAACTCAGCCAGTTTCTGTGTGAGCTAGGAAGTGGTCCCCCACTCCACCCCAGTTTAGTCACGCAGCCCTGGAAAATGTGAATCTCTCACTCAGGTCGGCTTTCTGCGATCCCTATTGCAGTGTGGATGCTTTTACTTTTAAATGTTTGAGCTTTTTATGGGTTTGTTTTTTACATTTGTCTAGCAGTCTATGCTTTTTTACTTTGTAAATTTATTTTTCAGTCTCTTTAAAAAAATTTAGACTTATTTTATATTTTGTATAAGAGTGTTTTGTCTGCATGCATGTGTGTGCACCATGTGCATGCCTGATGTCTGCACAGGTCAGAAGAGAGTACCTGATCCCTTGAAAATGGAGTTCCAGATGGTTGTGAGCCACCATGTGTGTGCTGGAAACTGGTCCCCTAGAAGAGCCGCCGGTGCTCTTAACTCTGCTGAGCCATCTGTCCAGCCCCTTCTCTCCATCCCTCAATGTAGACCATTATCTCCTCTCTGGTAGCTTGAGTTTAATGTCCCTTTGGTCCCCCCTGAAATTCATAGTTCCGGTATATGATATGATTCCATGTGGCTGGTGTGTGCTCCCATCCTGAGTGACTGCTTGTCCCACCCACCACACTGTCTACAGCTGGGTGTAGGTTAGATTCCATTCCCCTGGGGGTCTGCTCGCACTCAGAGGCCCTCAGGCCCTCTGGCGTTCTGCAGTTCAGAGCAGAACAAATTCTTTTTCTTTCCTTCTCCTCCCACCCCAGGATCTCATGTAGTCCAGACTGGCCTCAAACTTGCTGTGTAGCAGAGGATGACTTTGAGTTCCTGATCCTCCTGCCTCTGTCTCCCAAATGCCAGGATGACAGGCAGGTATCGCCACAGGGCTGGGGATTGAACCCACGGTTCCACCCATGCTAGGCAAGCGTTCTGACAACAGAGCTATTTCTCCCTGATCTCTGGGGCAATGTCTGATACATTCTAACCGAGGTCTTACAGGTTCCTCCATTAGGAGTCTAGCTGTAGGCTAAGGAGAGCAGGAGCCTTGGAGGCAGGCAGGCTTGTCTGTTGCAAGTCTGTGTCCACCGAGGGCTTCCGTGCTGCTGCCCCAAACAGGAAGCTCTTCCCGCCTTGCTGCACTGAGTCCACCCAGTTCACTCCCCCGGTTTTCCTTGCGTGAAAACAATCCTGTGGTTGACTGGGCCTAGGCCCAGGCCTGGGGTCAGGCCCTCAGCATGTGTCATCTTGAATTCCCAGAATACTTTGGCCTGGTCAGGATTATTTCTGTTTCAGAGACAAATGTCTCTGCTCGGAAAGGAGGTGACGATGGAGCAGGTTGGAGCCCAGGCATTTCACTGTGCTGCACCCTGGGGCCCCAGGACTCTTCAAGATGCCAGGGTGGGGTCTGTGGATCCTGACCTGTAGCCCTAGACCTGGAGCTGTATGACTGGAACTGGGCCCTCCCCTGCCTGTCAGCCCTGCTACCCGGGAATGAAGCCAGCTGGACACTGGGAAAAAACAGCCCTTCCCCCTACCTCCTGGGGATTTTGAGGGTTGCTATGGCTCTCCTGGTCCAGTTAGGATAGAGGGGTGGAGAGCAGGCCTCCAGGGGTGTCCATCATTTGGTACACATTGTCTGTTAATTTGCATGAGCTTTGTATGCGGCACACAGCGTGTAACGTGACATGGTACCAGGCCTTCGCCTAACATCTAAGTCCATTTCTAGGAGGGGCTTTGTTGTGGGAGCTGAGTCTCCAAGACCAAGCCAGTATTTGATGGCGAGGGGGGAAAGTTGAAAAGACAAAAGAATGGATGGATTCTGTCCCTGCTCATTTTTCTGCAGGGTGTCTTCAGAGGCAGAGGTGATGCTCCAGCCCATCCTTGGTGCTGTCCCAGGCAGTAGTATGTAACCAGTTTCCAATCTTAACTCTTAGCATTTTGGAGAGTGGTCAACCTTTTCATTCCCAGCTGTCTTTGTCCCTATACCCTTAAGCCTGTCACTCTGGGGTGACCCAGACTAGACCCTCTCTGTGGCCAGGAGGGCTCCCCCTGACAGCCTGGGCTTTCTTCTGCTCTGTTAGGACTTTGCACAGGAAGAACCTCAGCAGCTGGCCATGTCGTCTGTGATTGGGTAGTGACTGGTCTGGTGATATGTGCCCATTCATCGTAGAGCTGGATGCTTACTGTCAGCCTCAATATAGAGCTGGAACCAAATATGGCAGGGGCAACAGGCAGCAGGCAGCCACTGACGTGCTCCATTCTCTTGCAGGGAACCCTCCCGTCATGTCCAGGTGAGGCCGAGGAGTGCCGTGCTGAACATGCTCAGGAGGCTGGATAGGATCAGGTTCAGAGGCCACAAGAGAGAGGACTTCCTTGACCTAGCCGAGTCCCCAAATGCCTCGGACACCGAGTGTGGAGACGAGATCCCTCTGAAGACACCACGGCCCTCACCCCGGGACAGTGAGGAGCTCAGGGACCCTGTGAGTATGTGCCAGTCCCCGAGTCTTGCATCCCTTGATGTGGACAGCAAGGACAGCATGCCCAGTTCATAGGTGGCCAAGCGAAGATTCATGCCTGACCAGGCAGTTTAGACATACAGAGGCCCAATCTCTGTCCCCTGTTGCCTGTTTCCTTCAACACGCAGCGTCAACTGGGACAGGTCCTTATCTTGGTGGGACTTCTGTACCAAGTTTTGCCTAGACACTGCATTGCTTTGTCTTGTTTGTTGGTTTTTCTGGGTGTTGGGGAAGCTTCTCACATAAACACAGTGTTGTAGCCTGGCTTGACCCCATCAGGAACATTGGTGTGGGGATGGGGCAGGGTGAGGCTGGTCTAGAAGCTGCTGGCACCCTGCTTGTCTGTCCATGCCAGGATGTGTGTCACCGACCCATCCACTGGCTGAGCCCTCAGCCCACACAGTGGCCAGTGGCAAGGAGCCTTTTGACCAGGCATCAGGTATCACTTGAGAGCCTTAGCCAGGGCGAAGCTTTGGTGTGAACAAACCAAGGGCCCCTGCCTTCCTGAGCTTGTATTTCATGGGTGTCAGGCGGGGGAGTGAGAGTCTAGCTGGGCCAGTGAGTACCTTGCAGTCTTTCCTCTGGACAGGTCTCTTCAGTCTCAGATTGGCTGTGGTGTGCACATCGATTCAGCCCCCCTCCCTGCTACCCCAGAATCCTTGAATGTACTTGATGACCATTGGTTTTCCCTCTCAGCCCTGAGCCTGGTACTCTTTCCAGATGTGGCTGCGATCAGCGGCCTTCCCCTAGCTCCTATATTATTAATGCTTCATAATAGGATGGTGACTGTGTACTGCTGCTGGCAAGATTAATAATTTACTAGTGCTGTCTCCTAAGAGCCTGGCTGTGTGCCCTATGCTGCCTGGCCAGGTGGGTGGGGTCACTTGCCTTCCTATTTAACCTCCTGGTGTATTAGACGGGTGCTGTTCCCAGAGTTCAAAGGCCATAGCTAGTCCTGCAGCTTTTGGTCTAGAGGAGGGCTGTGCATCTAGCTTGCAAAAAGCCATACACCTTTTGCAGGTGACATACAGAGCAATAGAGGACAGAAATGTATATCTTGTCCAGTGCTGGTATGGAGTTGTGCAAGTTACAAGTCTGGGTGAGATGAAAGTCTTTGGGCTGAGCATCTCAGGGATGTTCAAGAATTGCCCTGCACCTACACACATGTGCACACAAATTCACAAGCATGCATACACATGTATACACACATGCATACACACATACACAGAGATATACACACACATATATGCACATGTACATATGTACATACATATACACACTCACATGTACACACATGCATGCATACCTGAGTGCCTACACACACACACACACGCACACACACACATACATACACACACACACACACACGATACAAGATTCATGGTTCAGCGGCCAAAGGAACCCATTCAGAGGCTGTTCTGGCTGTCACTCTGTGTGTCTAACCAGGATTGTGTAGTAGACTGTAGTAGTAGGACTGGACCTGGGCACATCTACTGAGTGTGTGCATGAGGTGGTGTGCAGAGAAGAGGGTAGTATGTGGAGAGCCACCCCATGCCACAGGCTCACTTGGCCACTTAGCAGCTACAGGGGCTAGCTAGACTGCAGTTAGAGTTTCCTGTTATGCAGACCACAGGTGCTCTTACCCTATGTGGCCTACCTGTGATGTCTGGCCATCCCTGGACCTCCTGCTGGTGACATAGCTAGGCATGGGGCTAACAGAGATTCTGAGGCCACAGCAAGCCCATGGCTACATGCCATGTGACCCTCGTGGCACACATAGGCTTGATGGTAGTTAGGTAGGGAGTGGCACATTCTTCTAGACCAGGTTTTAGTGGCAACTTTGGGCGACATGGGTCTATATTGGGATACCTGGTAAGTGGACAGGGCATATTTCCATATCCTACCTTGCTTATCACAGGAGAAAGGTTCCTGGTGTGTGTTAATCTCCAGGGGTACCATGGTGGTTGAGTTGACCTTAGGCAGGAGGGAGCTGGCTCAGAAGGCACAGGTTCTGTGCTAACTAGAGAAATGGGAGGAGAGATTGCAGGATTTGGGGGGTCTTAACTAGAGATAACATCTGGATTTAGGGGCTACCGGGAGGGACAGTGCTGAAGCTAGTTATTTTAGGGTAACTAGCTTGGAAGTATAGTTTGGGGAATGTGGGCTCCTAAGGGAGGCAGAAGAACAAGAAGGGACATGCCAGGGCGCTGTGCTAGTTGGATGGGCCATCTTTGATGTGTAGGAAACTCCCTGTGTGACACAAAGGTCCCGGGAGAGGTGTTGATTTGGGAGGTAGTCTTGGCATCCTGGGCTGCAGCTGAGAGCAGCTACTGCAGAGGTCTTGGCAAGGTCAGACCTGGGACCTAGGCTCTTGTGCCTTCCAGGATTAGGGAGCCCTGTGGGGAAACTGCTCCAGGGACCTCCCTGCATGGGTTCAGCCCTAGCTCAGGGCGTTGTGCAGAGTGCCGGCTCACTGGTTGTAGAGGGACCAGGTGATGCTGTTTGGCCTTCACCCACCACTCAGCACCCACAGTTTAAAAAGGGATGTGTTGGTGTTTGTTCTGGGCATGCTTTGAGGCTTAAGTGAGCTTGGTAACTAGTTGGATCATTGTTACCATGCAGGTAGGCGTTACTACCCATAAACGAGTGGCTCAGAGGCTCCTCCCAGGCCAGGTTCTTTTTAGGGCCTTGGTCTTATAATAAGTTCTCTCCAGGGACTCCAGGTCAGAATGCAGTGGTAAATAGTCTTCCACACCTGTGTTACTCCTTCTTGGGGGTGCAATAACCCTTTGCCTTCTATAGCCTCCTGAAGAGATTGAGAGCCCAGGCAGCAGCACAGAGGCCTCACTGGTTGGTTGATTTGATGCCCTCTTAGGAGCACCCTTGCGACATTACCGGGGGGTATTGTATGAGTTTGAGTCAACAGTCTCTAGTGTACACTTTATACTGTGCCGCCCAAGAGGGGCTGTGTGTGCTTTAATGGTCACTGGCAGATTCTCCAGCCTCAGTTCTGCCTACTGCCGGTCTGCCACATCTCTGTAGCTTTGCATATGTAAAAAATTAGCTGAGCAGTGGTGGTGGTGCACGTCTTTAATCCCAGCACTCGGGAGGCAGAGGCAGGTGAATCTCTGTGAGTTCGAGGCCAGCCTGGTCTACAAGAGCTAGTTCCAGGACAGGCTCTAAAGCTACAGAGAAACCCTGTCTCGAAAAAAAAAATTCCCCCGGGCAAGGTGGTTTATGTCTTTATTCCCGGAACATACATGGGGTGGTAGAGGCAGGCAGATCTCCATGACTTCAAGAACTGTCTATATATATATATCTATATCTATATCTATATCTATATCTATATCTATATCTATATCTATATCTATATCTATATCTATATCTATATCTATATCTGTCTGCCTGTCTGTCCGTCCGTCCGTCTGTCCGTCCATCCACCCACCCGTCTGTCTGTCTGTCTGTCTGTCTGTCTATCTATCTATCTATCTATCTATCTATCTATCTATCTATCAATCATCTGGGTGTGTTCTTGTGCTTGTCATGGCGTGTGTATAGAGATCAGAGTACAATTTGTGGGAGTTGATTCCTCTATCACAGGATTCAAACTCAGACTTGGCCGCAGGTGCCTTTACTTAATAAGCTGTTTCACTGGCCCGGTGTTTCCTATTCTGTACATTTTCCTATAAAATGTCTGGCACAGTGTGTGGCCATTGGTATCTGGCTTTCTTGCCTTTTTGTGGCTGAATTGGGTCCTGTGGTTTGGTCTGGGAGTATAGCTCAGTGATGGAGTGGTTGCCTAGCATGCGCAAGAGCCTGAATTCAGTCCCAAGTGTATCTATATGCATAATCTTCTGGAGTGGTGGCATGTATCTAATTCCAGCACTCGGGAAACCAAAGCAGGAAGATTACCACAAGGCCAGCCCAGGTCATATGGCAAGTACTGGGCCAGCTGTAGCTACATAACAAGACTCTGTCTCAAAAACAAAACAAAATAACAATAACAAACCCCTAAAATAAATCAAACAAGCCCCAGGGTTTGGATGGACCATGCTTGCTTATCCATGCACACACTGGTAGACATTAGGTTTGTTTCCACTTTGGCGCTCTGGCAAACAACAAAACACCTGGGAATATAGTTTCTCACAAACATCTGTTTGCATCTGGAGTCGCTGGGTCTTGTGGAGGCCCTGTGCTTCTGAGGGACTGCTGTACTGTTTTTCCCAGGTGACAGGGCCATTTTCCATTCCTATGTGTGGGGGTCTGTGGATTCCCCTGGTTGAGGTGGCCCAGATGCCCCATTCACCCGCGCTCTGTGGAGCGCTCTGCGGGATGTTGAGCTGCCTCACTTAGCAGGCATTCAAGCTCCCACTGTGGAATGTGTTTCTGCTTCTGGTGACCTCCCCACTGAGGGACACTGGTGCCGTCCAGTTTGCAGTATTGCTTGGTCTGTGAGTCACATGTCCACATAGGCCACATCCCACTCCTGTGAAAAGTGATGGGGCCTCCAATGGCTGCTGAGAGCTGCCCTGCTCCAGGCAGTACAGTTCATCCCTGTGACTGGTGGAGAGGCCCATGCTCCCTCACCCCCACCTCGGGTTCCCTCCAATTCCCGTGTCGGGCTAATTCAGGCAAAAATGACATCTCAGCTTGCCTGGCTTTTTATCATGAGAGAGATGATCATCTTTATACTCACTTTATTATGTAAATTTACAGTGGTTTTGTCACGGCTCCGGTTCATGTCCAGGCCCCTGGTTTCCAGGTCCCAGTTGCTCCTCCTGAGTCTAAGAAAGGGACAGCTAGGGAACTATGATGCCTTACAGGAGGATTCAGCTCAGAACTTCGGCACAGTGCCCTGGAGGCGTGTCATCCCTGTTGGAGACCTTGGTCACTTGGCCAGGCCCCTTAGGCCTAGCTTCACTGCTGCTGGGGTCAGGGGACTCCCCTGAGCTGTGGCCTCTTCTGCATGGAGGCCACTAGAACTCACAAGCTGAATGGAAACCCTGAGACCTGGGTGTTGGGATACCCATTCAGGGATGTAAATGGGTGCATTCAAGTGGAACTTGCCATCTAGAGATGAACTGGCTGCTTTTGGCAGGAGATTGCTGAGCTCATCAGGTTGGCCATTCTGTCCCTGCCCCCTCTGCCTTCTTTGCCAGCCTCCGCACCTGCTGCCTGCCTGTTGTGTGGCCATCCTGTTCCCTTCCAGGTTGGGAGGCCCTGGTTCCTCTCAAGCTTCCCTTCTTGCTCTCATCACTTGGGGTCCACCCTTCCTAGCCTGGCATGCTGGGAATAGAGTGGCATCATTGAGTCTGGTTTCCTGGGCTTTGAAAGATGGTATTACCTGTAGATTCCGTAGCTGGGACAGCCAGGGATCCGGAGTTGGCTCTGCTGCTAGAGGGCTGGCACATACAGTCAGGATGTCTGTGCTGGGTAGTGCTTGCTTCTTGTTCATGGGGTCTTCTCTGCTACGTAACTCATAACAATTACCTAACAGTTGGGTATCTCCTGGGCAGGGCCTCATTTATCCTGCATGGGCTGTGCCCATACCTATGGCCTGGCTCCCCTAGGACTCCTGTTGCAGGGCCCCTTGACAAATGTGGCAGCAGACAGGCCTGCCAAGCCCAACACAGTACCCCCACTGTAAGCCTGCTGGTGCTGTTGAGCAGAGCTAGTGAAATATTTAACAGTTTCCTTGTAGGCGAGATCAGACCGAAGTCAGAACATGGGGCAGTTCTTAGCGATGAGGGGGGAACAAGGCTGCAGAGTTCCTGGGCTGCTGGATCCCATTTCAATTCAGCATTGATGACCTCCTCCCTAAGATAGGACTTGTCTTAACATGCTGGGGGCAGGGAGGCTAGGCGTGACTGAGACACACAGAGACCGAGGAGAACTTAAGAGAAGGTGCATAGACAAGAGGGCCGGAGAAGAGATGGAGACAAGGAAATCAAGGTGCACATGCTAGCACCAGCCCGGGTAGAAACTCTGAGGGAACGTTTAATTGTTTCCTGTTCAGGAGGTGGGTGAAGCCATGGGAGATCAAGAGGGGGCAGAGTTAGGAATCAGGTGCCCGCCAGGACCATTGGGTGTGTGGCGCAGAGCTGGGTTAAAGTGAGCACATCACATGTGTCCTGAAGTTGGCATTTGAGATTGTATGATTGTCCCTTCACGGACATGTTATTACCCATCTGCCTTTGATGTGTCGGGCTACTTGAGAAGACAGGCAGCCATGTGGGGCTTTCACTGCCGGTTTCATTGCCTGTGTATATGGAGTCCTACACACTGAGCACTACAAAGTCTTAGTGTACTCTCCTGGCTCAGTATGTCTAGTCTGGCATTGACTGGGTCTGAGCCACCTCTGGACAGATGTCTGCATGGTGTTTCTGGGCTGAGGGGCTTCCCACCTGACGGTGAGCTTTCTCAGGATCCACTGTTATGTGACATAGGACACAGGTGGCGATACATGTCTTCTTTGGGAGTTTTCTTGTCCTGGGCAGGGGTTTTAGAGTGCTGGGATACTCGTGAGCTCCTAGCTCTTCTAGAAAAGGTGCCTCTTGGCTGGATTTATTATACAATAAAATTGAGCTGGGGAGTGACAACCAGAAGACCCCCTTGGGTAGACCACACATCAGAAATTACTGTGCCTTCAGTCACCCCAAGCTCTCACCATGCCACTATACCAAGGGACCAGGTCCATATCCCCATCAACAGGTATCCTGATAGGCAGACAGCTGGAAGTGTAGTCCAGACGCCCTGGCAGGGTATCCATCGACTGGAGGGGCTTTGTGCAGAGCCTCTGGCCTCTACCTGCCCCTTCATCCTATGCCCCCCAAAGGGTACACATATCCACAGTGCTCCCCATGTCCTATTGCCTAGGAGAGGTTTGGGGGCCCAGCAAGCTGGTCAGGTCCCCTCTGTTGCTTGCAGGGCTCTAGTGTGCCATTTTTGCCATGTCGATAGCAGGGTCCAGCTGTGAGATGACCACGTGAGTTCCCACTGTGGCCTGGGGGGCTGTGCAGTGATGGGTGGGGCTGCTTTCTTTTCCTGTGGTCAGCAGGAGGCATAGCTGTGTCAGAGGCATTGGCAATGGGAGCTGTGACTACAGCCAGTCCTTAGTCAGTAGACAGGACAGTGATAGAATTTGCTCTCTGGGGAGCCAACAGGAAGGGCCTGGTGTGGAGTGTGCTCATCTTGGCTCCTCATAGGACCCATTTAGCTGTTTTCCCCTCTGATCTGCTCAGTGTGGGATAGACACCTTTGGGATACCATTAAGAGATCTGCTCTGTTTGAGTCATTGTGTACTGCAAGCACCAGGACAGTGGCATGATTTTTTTTTTCCCTCTGTAGTGCCAGTCAGTACTGCTATCATCACGAGGCTTAGTGCTGGCTGGGGATGCTGATACACACTCAGGAGGTGGAGGCAGGAGGATCATGAATTTGAGGCTAGTCTGGACTGTATTATGAGACCATCTCAAAAACAAAATAACATTTAACATTAAAATGACATTTAACACTTTATTTACTGTTTTAAACCCTTTCCATTTTTAAGTGGTTATGTGTGATGCGCATGTTTGAGGGTGTAGATGTGTGTGTGTGTGAGTGCATGTGCACACGTGTGCATGTGGAGGCACAAGGTTGATGTCAGGAATCATCCTCCATATCTCCACTGTATTCACTAAGGCAGGATCTCTCAATCAAACCCAGAGCTCAGTGATGGTGACTCTTGCTAACCCGTCTGCTCTGGAGACTCCCTGTCTCTGCCTTCTGAGGCTGGCATTACAAGTAGGCTACCGTGCCCACCTGGGATTTATGTAGGCTCTAGGGATCCAAGCTCTGATCTTCATCCTCTTGTGGCAAGTGTCTTGACCACTGAGCAGTGTTCCTGTCATGTAGGGTTTGATGTTTGTGTGTGTTCTTTCTTAAGACCTCGCTTGTGTCAGGTGTGAGGAGATCCACACTGTCTGCGATCCTGAGGCCAGCAGGTGTGCTGGCACACAGTTGTAGAGCCCATGCCTCTTTGTCCCGTATGTTCAGAAAGATGCTCTTGGAGCCCTAGGGCCACTGTATTGACTGTAATGTGCTCCTCCTTGTGGTCCATCTGCACTAAAGCACCAGAGGTTGCAGCTGCCATCCCAAGGCTCTGGGCCCCCTAAAACCAACTGGGATCAAGCAAGGCTGCTTTAGTGTGGCCCTCTGAACTCTTGGTGTTTTCCTTCCAGGCTGGCCCAGGGACCCTCATCATGGCAGCAGGTGTCCAGGACTTTAGCAGGACAGAGTTCGATCGGCTGAACGAGATCAAGGGTCATCTGGAAATTGCCTTACTGGAAAAGCACTTTCTTCGTGAGTACAAGAAAGTACTTATGGGGGGATGGGCCACTGCTGAGTGAAGTCCGAACTGGGAGTGCTATGGTGTGGCCACGGGACAGGTGTGGGTGGGGGCAGGCATGTGTGAACATAGGTGTGTGTGGGGATAGGTGTGAACATAGACGTGGGGTGATAGGTATGAACATAGGTGTGTGGGGGCATAGGTATGAACATAGGAGTGTGGGGGCATAAGTGTGAACATAAGTGTGTGGGCATAGATGTGAACATAGGTGTGTGGGAATAGGTGTGAACATAGGTGTGTGGGGATAGGCTTGGGCAGAGATAGACATGGACTTGGCAGTCCCCACATGATACTTCCCCTCTGAACATGTGACTGTTGCCTGTTGCCTCACAAAAGCCAACCCTGGCCCGTGCTTTGCAGGTGGGATGAGGGAGCATCAGGAGTCTGGGAAAGGAGGAGCCTATCCATGAACTTGGTTGGTTTCCGTGACTCAAGCACAGTTTACTCAGACTTTTCAGAGCTCCTTTGAGGAATCTGAAGCCATCTCTCCTGTTACACACTGGGTCTGCGGGGGCACCTTGGGACCTTTCCCCTCATGGCTCCTGCTGGCCAGGTTCTGATCTGTGAAGTAAGGAGGAGGTGGTTTTGGCAGAACAGGAGCATTTGGAGTCACCATCCAGTAGCATCTCACGTTTGGTCTTTCTCTTGACTTCCGTGTCCTCCTGGCGAGGAAACTGAGGCACAGATGACTGAGTCACCCTACCACATGGTGGCAGTAGTAAGAACTTAAACCAGCCTGGCTAGCTCCAGAGCCCGTGCTCGTGGCCCCGATGCGTGATAGTGTTGTCATGGTTGATGCTCTGCAGGAGCCGAGGCTTCTGAGAAGAGAGTGTCAATCCTGCTTGCCCAGAGCTGGTCACTGAGAATCTGTGGGGCAAGTCCAGGCCAATGCCAGGGTGTAGGGCTGCCTGAGCCCTCGCCCCACTGTGGAAGAGTTTGAAAGTGCAGCGTGGAACTAGCCAGACCCCCATGGGGATGAGGCAGTGGGGGATTCTAAAGGTGATGGATCATGAGGAAAAATGTTCCCACAATTCTTTTCTCAGACTTGCCCAAGGAACTATCTCATTCTACTCCTTGGTCACTCCTAAGGTGTGGTGTGGCATTTACCCTGACAGTGTGGGGGCAGCTCTGGGCAGGTTTTTGTTGTTGTTGTTTTAAATGAAAGATTTTGAAGATACATAGACTCAGAGTTGAGCATGTCAGAGATGCCTGTTGACTCTATACCTGCTTCTGCAGGGGCAGATTCTAAGCCAGGCTGGCTGTCGCCCCTCCTCCCCTGGGCGTGTTGGGCGAATCCCAGCCAGCCGCTCTATGGCTTCATCTGTAAATATTTTAGTAGATAGCTCAATATGTTTTAATGACAAAAGCTGAGAGACCAAGATGGCAAGGAGAACAGCAGACAGCTTTCCTTGATTGCAGCCGAGACCGACTGGAGCTCGGATTTCCCTGATAGATAGGCTCATGATTTCTGACAACTTTGAATTGATACTCGTCAGGGTCCGTGGGTGGGAACGGCTGGCGTATCTCCTCAGTCTTTTGGTACCTTCTCTCTCTATTCCTGCCTTCACCCCGGGTGGCTAGCTCCAAAGCTGGAGCTCCCCCTGTGAGAGTAGTGTCCTGTGGACTCCCCATGTCTGCTGTCCCTCCTCCATAGTGGTGGCTGTGACTGGTCTTGGGGGGCAGACCTTTGATGGTATTGCTCTGTATTGCCCTGAGGCGTGCTGTCCCTGAGGTCACAGCAATCGTTAAGTGCGGTCTCTGAAGGGATTCTTGCCAACCAGAGCACGGCAAACATGGCTCTGGCAGGCTTTGTCCTTCTCCCCAATTCCCTCTGCCTTGCTAAAAACCATGAGATCACATTCCTAAAGCTAGTCACCATGGTCTAGTCCCTTATTTGGCCACTTCCTCCTTCTGAACTGACTACAACAAAGGTTCACCTATCAAAGTATTGAAGTCCAGCAATCAGAAGCCTCCTTTGGCTCTCCTAACTAATATGCCCTCTTAAAATTAAGCTCCTCACCCTAATGCGGGATTTCTCCCTTTACCTTTATAAACTGTCATTTGCCTATGGGCCACACATGTCTCCTCTCATTCCAGAGGCAATCCTTTGTCGTCCCCCTCCCAGTACAAACACCCCTGGTCCCCTGTCTTTGTCTCTTTCTACCTGCCCCTTGTCTCTCTAGGGCAATTAGATGTCCTTTGTGCTGAGAGCTTGGTCTTGGGGTGTCCTGGGAGAATACCAGCCCGTTCAGTCAGTCCGTCAGAGTGCTCACACAGGTCACTTTTGTACGTTGTTGTTCTTGCTCCATTGAGTAACCGGTGCATTTCTGAAGACAAGTTTCTCTTTGCTCTCTGGTTGCCTTGAGATGTGGTTCACGTAGGAAAAGCTGGATACACGGATTTCCCCGCCTTGTGTCACAGTTTTGAATATGAATAAAACATTTCTCCTGAGACCAGAGGGGTGCCTGCTCCACTGGGTGTTTTAGAACTGTGTCATCAGAAGCCCCAGGAACAAACTGTGATCATGACCTGTGTATGCGATTATAGTCCTGCCTCTGGGCTGTAGACGCCTCAGCCTTGACTTGTCAGCCTGCTCACGGTAGGACAAGATGTTCGAGCCCCCTCACAAACACTTCTCACCCTGTGGCTGGCATGGACCATCTTTCAAGGCAGTTCTGGCTCTTTTCAGTGGAAGTCATCCTTAGAGGACAACTGAGGATTACAGGGTGCTCACCATAGCTGGCAGCCTTCATGCCTTGACCATTACAGTCACCAGGGCTTGGGAAGTTTGAGTCCAGACTCTGAAGAAGCAGACCTCCAGGACTCCTGGGTGGCTTTTGGACCTTAGGGAGTCTTTACTGTGTCTTCCACTCATGACAGTTGGTTCTCAGAGGCAGGTAGCACCAACCTTAGTTGTTTCATCTCACAACATATGCAGGTCTCGGGAGCACTCAGGAGGTAGAGGTAGGAGGACCGTAGGATTGGAGGCCATCCTGGGATACAGAGCTAAAGACTGTCATAACAAACACCAAAATCTACCAACACCCTAGTGTGGCGGTACACACCTTTAATGCCAGCTCTCAGGAAGCGGAGGTGGCTATGAGTTAGAGGCCAGCCAGAGCTACACAGTGAGAGCCTGTCTCAGAAATAAACAAAGTGCCAGGGTCACCGCCAACCTTGGGACCACTGAGCCAGTCTGTTTTGGGTTATGCTGGCTTTGCCCCCATGAGGAAATGTCACTATAGAATTATCAGTTCTTTCATTGGAATGCCACTTGCAAGGTTCCTCCTGCTTCATGGTCCTGCCATCAAGGAGAGCAGGGCCAGCTTCATTTGTTCCTCCCACTCCCGATGTTTATGGAGATCGCCTTTGTTTTGCTTGAATTTATTTTGACTTTATTTCAGACTTGGAGGAAAGTTGCAAAAATAGCACAAAGCATTTCCACGTGCTCTTCGTGCGGTTATTTCCTTCCTCAAAGGGCAGCTCTTTGCCACACGTGTTTGTCAGTGGTTCTTAGCCGTCAAGCCCCCTACCCACCATCTAGCTGTCTATACGTATATATATACACACACATGTGTGCACCCACCCATTTGTTTACCTCCCACCCACGTGTCCATCCAGCTCTCATCTGTCTGTCCATCCTCCCACATATGCATCCATATCCCCCCACGTATCCATCTCTCTTTCATCTGTCTACCCATCTCTCCACCCACACGTCCGTCCGTCTCCCTCCACCTTTCCATCCATATACCTACACATCTATCCGTCTCCTACTTACCCATTAGTTCTCCCACCTACACATCCATCCATCTCTCACCCAGTCACACATCTATCCACCCACATCCATCTCTTGCCCACCCACCCACCCACCGATCCATCTCTCATCCACCTACCCATCCATCCATTCATCCATCTGCCTGGCTATTTATATGTTTTTTCTGAGCTGCCTGATGGTCTGTTTCAGATGCAGTGCTTCTGAGTTTCAAATACTCTGCTGTGTTCCCTAAGAGCAAGGCCATTCTCTTCTCTAGCCACAGTGTGCCGTGATCAAAGTCAGGAAATAATGTTGCTATGCCATTATCTGGTGTGAGCCTCACCATTGTCTTATTAATGTTCTTTATAACAAAAGAAAGTTCTGGTCACGAGTAGCCTCTCGAGGCTCCTCTTCTCGGCCTTTGTTTCCTGATCCAGGCATTTTTTCGAGGCATGCGGGTCAGTTGCCCATAGAATGGACTCGGGTTTAGATGTCTGCTGTTGCTTAATAGAGACTCGGATCATGTGGGTTTTTGCCTTGAATGTCACAGACATGATGGTGTTTCTTCAGTGCTGGTCAGGAGGGACAAGATATCATCTCATCTCATTCTGCAATGCCAAGAGTTCCTTGTCAAATTAAATTCTTGTATCTATCTAAAATTACTGCGCTGGGGGTGTAGCTCAGGGGCAGAAGGCTTGCCAAGCATGCTCAAGGGAGGCTCTGGGTCCCTTCTGCAGTGCTGGGGGAGGGGGAAAACACTCAGTCAAATAAAATAAAAAGAAAATGTTTACAGTAGCATAAGTCTGTGGTCCCAGCACTAGGGAGGCTGAGCCAGGAGGTTCCCCTGAGCCCTGGAATCCAACACTACCCCGGGTAACACAGTGAGACCCAATCTCAAAAGCAGGCAACACTGAATGGCTTACCTGGCTGCATTATCAGGTTATATCCAGAGAACTTGGGTCCCCTCCCATCCTCTCTGGAGTTCCAATTGTCTTCTCCGTTACTAGGTCCTTTACTGGTTTTTGTGTTTGGTCACACCTTCCCCTGTAGATAAATGTTAGTACACTCATACTTTGTGCACACTTGTGTTCTGTTCTGGCAGTCACTGTAGGCTGGTACCAGAGATAATCCCTGGTCTGTTTTCTGTCTGTGTCTCTACTCAGGGTGTGGCTAATCTCCTGGTCGCCTGTTGGTGACTGA